TTTCTTTCAGTCGCTATTAGTTCTACTGCTTCTCTTGGGACAGACAGCCTGCCATAGGATCTGAATGCTCCCACTCCTGTGTTTGCCAAACTGCAAGACCTAACCACCCACTGCTGCTAAGTAGTTCTTACAGCTGGTTAGAGACTAGGCCAAGGTGACTGCAACATGACTGCTGAATGAAAAGCTACTCACTCAGAGAAAAGGTTGGCTTGCTCCTTGCTTGCTAGCAAAGGTATTAGCTCTTGATCCTTGGTTCCTTAGCATAGTGCAGCCTACTGCATAGCAAGCATCTCTGCCTATTACATCACCCTCTGAGATCTGGAGCAGACAAACTGGCACTCCACACTAACACACCTGTGGACTAATGTACTGAGAAGAACTGACTTGCTTGGAGTCACTGGGTTTTACTGTCAAACACCTCTGGGGGTGTGGCAGTTGATTTTCATCAATTCTCCATAAGACTGGCATTCTTTTCCCCTCCCAGTTCATAATGATCTCTAAAGGACCTTCTGTTAGTCTGATTTTCATTACTATGATAAATACCTCAAAGGAAGCAACTTAAGGAAAGCAAGATTGATTCTGGCTCACAGTTACAGAGGTGTTAAGTACAGGGATAAGATACCTTCAAGGATATACAGGCAGTAAGCTACTTCCTCCAGCTAAGCCCACTTAAAGTTTCTAGCACCTCCCCAAATAGCACACCAACTAGGAAACAAGATTTCTATGTTTTAAGGACTTATTTTATTTGATTATGTGTACATGAGTGCAAGCATCTGCAGAGGTCAGAAGAGGGCACTGGATCCCCTAGAGTTGGAGTTACAGGTGGTTAGGAGCTGCCTAATGTGGGTGCTAGGATCTGAACCCGGGTCCTCTATAAGTGTAGCAAGTGCTTAGTATTTGAGCCATCTCTTCTGCCCTAGGAACCAAGCTTTCAACACATGAATCTATGAGGGCCATTTCAAATTTGAACCACAGCACTGCATCTTAGCCCAGAAAGGACTCATGTCTATACCATAATAAAAAATGTATTCAGGCCATCACCAAGAGTTCCCATGGTCTTAACAGTTCCAGCACTGTTCAAAGTCTAAGAGCAAAGTATCTCCTGAGACTCACAGCAAACTCTTAGCTAGGAACCCTTGTAAAATTTCAAAAGCAGGTTACAAACATCCAACATACAATGTGTTACAGGACTTTTCCTTCCTTTTCCCAAAGAAGGCACCGATGACAAACAAAAAAGAGTTAATTTGGGATTTGAATTGCTTGTAATATGGGTGACTCAAAGACCACTGCATCACTCATACACATGAACACCAACTCACAGAAATTGCATCCCTGAAGCTCCTGCACACACCTGTTGGGGACAGCTGAGCAGGGAATCTCTTCTCTAGCCAGTATTAACTACTTTTTGTTTTGTTCGCATTTTGTATTTACTTTTTGTGATTTTCATACAATATATTGTAACGGCATTTGGATCTGCTCCCTGCCACCTTCTCCCACTATACCCCACCCAATTTAATGAACTCTCTTTTAATGAACTCTTTCTATAAATATAAAATGGCCCATAGAGTATGAATTGTGTCCCCCAATACTTTCATGATAAAGGGTCTTGTGAACCTTGCAACTATCTGAGCTTCTCAGGCCTTTTAACTTTCATTAATTTCCTGGTCTCAAACGCTTCCGCTTCCCTCCTCCCTCTTCCCCTCCCTCAAGGAAGGGAGTGTCTCAATGCGGAGGAAACAGCTACACAACAAAGTGAAGACACACATTCCAAAAGAAGGACTAGGAAAAGAGTAAGCATTAAACCCTGAAGTTTCATGACCAGCATCTTCAAATACACAGTATCGTGATGTGAACGCCAAAGAGCTTAGGCAGCCCTGCCCAAAGCCTTGCCCACTGCGGCCCACAAGCCCTCTCTCCTGGGCTTCCTGCAGCTATCCTCTGCAAATGTTTCACATTCCCACATCTCCAGCCTCCTTAGATAGGGACTACGGTCAGGGCTTCCCACCTCACGCTCTGAGGGCCTTTTGCAGGCACTCTGACCCTGCCACACACTGCCTGCTCCTCTGTGATTTCCTCTGAAATTTTTGTGGAAACCTCTACAGCACTCTAATTTTTCCACTTTGCCTATGACATGGATGACACCAAGATCTGCTGCCAGCTTACACTGTAGCTGCATCCCCTGCATACCTACAGCAGCGGGAAAAACAGGGATGAGGGAGGAATAGCCAATTCCTGAGATGCTCTCAAGCCATCTTCCTAACTATGCAAAGTATTTGCTTGAAAAAAGTGCTAGAGAGGGAGCCCAGGGCTGCGGGCACACGAAGAAAGCACTCTTCTACTCAGCTGTAGCCCCAGCCCTTGGGTTTTTTAAAGTGTTTTATTGATTCGAGAATTTCATACAATGTATTTTGAGTATACTCAGAACCCTTCCCCCAACTTCATGTCCTCTATCATTGCCTTTTTCTTCAGTATTTCTAAAAGGTCTATGAAGTCTGATCTGTATCCTAAACGCTCCTGGGCCCTTGGATTCTTTTAAGGGCCCAGATCTTCAGCAGCTGCACTTTGCTTGGTCTCAAGTTCATAGGCATTTGTTTTCTGGGCAAGCTACAAGTTTTCTTAAACCTTTCCACTGTGATTTTTGCTCATAATTATCACTATAAGAGGCCTGGCTATGCCAGGCATGGTGGTGGACGCCTTTAGGCCCAGGACTCAGGAGACACAGGCAGGCGGATCTCTGTGAGTTCAAGGCCACCCTGGTCTACATAGTTCGAGGCCATCTGGGGCTACAAGGAGACCCTGTCTCAAAAAAGACTGAAAAAAAAAAAAAAAGAGGACAAGCTATAAGAGATCTGCAATAAGCATGCTATAGCCTAAATACTAAGCTGCCTTAATTTTTTTTTTAATATGTATGAGTGTATTGCTTACATGTATGTGAATACAACCAGGTTGTGCAATGCCCATGGAGGACAGAAGAGGCCATCAGATCCCCTGGAACTGGAGTTACGGACAGTTGTTAGCTGCCATGTGGGTGCTGGGATTCAAACCCAGGTCTTCTGCAAGAAAAGCCGGTGTTCCCAACCAGCCATCTCTCCAGTCGCGGAATATTTTCAAGCAGATTTGTTCACCTATTGTCTTGAAATTCAGCTCCTATGATCTCGCCAAATAGCCAAGATGTAGACAAACTCTTCACCACAGCATAGCATGCATGGCTTCTAGTCCAGTGGATTGATTTTCTGTTGCTGGGATACAATACCATGACCCAAAGCAGCTTTTTGGCTTACTATTCCGAAGGGGGGGGTCCATACTGGTGGGGGAGGGAGGATGATAGCAGGTAGCTGGAGCAGGAAACCTAGAGATTCCATCTCTACCTACACAGGAAGCAGGGAAAGCTAACTGGAAGTAGGGTGAGGCTATGAACTCTGAATGCCCACCCCAAGTGTCCAGCTTCCTTCAGCAAGGCCATACCTCCTAACCCCAGCAGCACCACCAACTGGGAACAAGCAGAAGCCCATGGGAGACATTTCTCATTCAAAATGCTGCCCCCAGGGAGAGGTGAAGCCCAGTGAGCCTTTGCCCCCATTTTTATCAGTGCTCTGCCCAGAGTCACCCACTAAGTTCCGCTTGCACAATTTTAAGGTTTTTCTAGTATGCTACTACAAGTGTTTCTAGATTCCTCACATAAAGCCTTAGGAACTACACAGTCACAGCAAGGATGCACTCTGGGCACCAAGTTGTCAGTGAGATTTTCACCACTGTCAGAAATAGTTAAGAAAACAACTTCACAGATGATTTATTCTGGGTCATAATTTCAGAGATGCTGGTCCATGGCTGGCTCGCTCTTGGCTGTGGGCCTGAGGCAAAGAGAATCATCACAGAGGTGGGAAATGTGTAGAAGACCCACCTCATGTAGCTAGCTACCAAGGCCAAAGTGACCTACGTCCTCCAGCTAAGCTCCACCTCTTCAAAGCTTTTAGCACCTCTCCAAACAGCACTAACCAACCAGAAACCAAGGTGTCACAGCAGTCCGTTACAGACTTCCTGTGATAATCGATAATTGCTGTGGGATCATTTTAAACAATTAGAGATTCTGAAATATGTCTATTTATGCCCTCTATTCTATCAGATGCCATCTGTAAGCAATCAAAGTTAACAATTTTTCAGGCTCTTCAAATTCTTTGCCTACCAGAACTTAATAAACAAAAGAAAACACGTGGGACCAGTAAGGTGTCTCAGTGGGGAAAGGCCCTTGGGCTATGCCTGAGTTCAATCTCCAGAACCAACATAGTCAAAGGAGAGAAACATCTCCCACAAGTTATTCTCTGACCTCCACATGCATGTCATGTGCACACCCTGCTATATACACACACAAACAAACAGATAAATAATGTAAGAAAAATACATAAATAAAACACCTAAGAGAATACCTTATAATAGAAGACACTTTGTAAGGTTTGGAGTATTTTCAAAAGACTATTTCTAGAAAAGTAAAGAATGTTTTAGTTTGTAATTAAGCAAAATTATACCTCATAATCCATACAACATATTAAGAATAATTTAATAATCAATTTGTAAGAATATTCTGATTTATTTAAAAATATTTTTTCAATTATGCATTCAAAATTATGTGTATGTACATGTGTCTGTGTGCACATTAGCACAAGTGCCTCAGAGGTAGGAAGAGGGAGTTGGGTCCCCTAGAGCTGGAGTCACGGGTAAGTGTGAGCTGCCCAGTCTGGGTTCTGGAAAGTGAAATCAGGTCCTCTGTAAGAGCAGTACATGTTCTAAACCACTAAGCGGACTCCAGCCCCTAAAATATATATTCATTATTAATTACAAGATGCCAACTGATGTAGAGCACTAGCTGTATCACAGTCTCTAAGAAAATATAATGCTTGCTGTTTTCAAATTTTTAGATACTATGTATCTATTCAATACTAGATTCCCACATCATGCACCTCAGGAGTCAAGTGTGAAAGCTCTTACTGTTTTTAACTTTTTACCTATACACAGGCTGTCGGCTTGCAGAATGATCATCTCTTGTCCATCTATAGCCAGATTCATCCTGCAACACAAAAAATCTGATTCAGATATTTGTTACATTATTTTAAACAGCCTCTAACAGTCAAAACACAATGAGGGCAAAAATACTTTTCTAGGTATTTCTAAGCTTCCAAGACAAAATAAATGATACAAGTCATCCATTCAACTAAAGAAGATGGAGAACTTGTGGAAACATTTATCTGTATTAAAAATCAAATGAATACACACACACACACACACACACCAATATTTCCTTGGTATAGCACACAGACTTGCTGCCTTAATACAAGCTCCCACATCACAACACTTACTGGTATCTGAGGACAGGGCTACATGGAATCAATGGGTGCCTTTCTCAACCCTGTCATCATCCAAGTTTTTTGACCAAGGTTCAAATTCAAGCTCAACAAAGAACTTAGTATTTTTTCATTTTCCCCATTTTCTCATTTATCACTCATTCAAGATGTAATTAGAAGTAACCAAATAAGAGCTATCACTTGATGATAAGCTATATTAATTAGTAATACGGGCCACTAAATTTAAAACTAATCAAACGAAGCACATTTTTCGCAAAGCGACAACCAATCACAAGTTGGGTGTGGTGGTGCATGTTTTTTTATTTGTTTGTTTTTATGTCCCGTCTCCCCCCTTCACCACCTACCCAGTGGTGCATGTTTTTAATCCAGCACTCAGGAAGGAGAGGCAAGTGGATCTCTATGAGTTCCAGGCCAGTCTGGTCTACATAACAAGTTACTTAGCCAAGACTACATTAAAAAATTTTTTAAATTACACACACACACACACACACACACACACACACACACACACACACACACTGTAATCCATACCCAGTTACCTTGAAACGACACATAGAACACAACACACAAATTATTTAGAGAAACTGATCCAGCTAAAACATCTTTCATTCTCCTCTCTAATATCACACACCCTACACTTCTGCAAACACAATGTATCTGTATTTTCCTTCTTGGTGTTAAATATGAAAAAGAAAACAAAAATAGCTATAATAAAATAATAGATCCAGTAATTGTTTATGTAAGTGAATTCAAGATAAAAATTAGTATCAAGGAGCTGGAGAGATGGCTCAGTGGTTAAAAGCACTGACTGCTCTTGCAGAGAACCTGGGTTTGATTCCCAGCACCCACATGGTGGCTAACAACTGTCTGTAACTCCAGTTCCAGATGATTCAACGCCTTCTTCTGATCTCCATGGGCATTGTACAACATGGGTGCACCTATATAAAATGCAGCAATACACTTATACACATTAAATAATTTTTTTTTAAATCCAGCATAAAACTGGGAAAATAAGCAGCAGACCCCAATCTTAGCCAAAGAACTATTGGCAGCTGATTACTGCCAGATGAGAGAGTGATCTTCATTAAGGAAGAGACTCTAGATAGGATGACTAGACCCCAGTGGATAAACTTCTACTGTGGGACCTCTAGGTACACTAACTTGATTCAATAGGCCTTAGTATATATGACTGAAGACATGAAATCCAGTGGGGAGGTATAAAGTGGATTAAGATGCAAGAGTGCAGATAAGGGAGGGGATTTAAACATTATGATGTTCTGTATAAAAAATGCAAAAAAATTCAGAAAAAAATATGCATTAAGGGCTAGAAAGATGGCTCAGCAGTTAAGAGCACTGGCTGCTCTTGCTGAGGACCCAGGTTCAATTCCAACCAACCACATAGTGGCTAACAACTAACCATAACTCCAGTTCCGGGAGATCCAACACCCTCTTCTGACCTCCTTGGGCATTACACAACGTGAGTGCACTTACATACATGCAGGCAACACACTCATATAGGGAAAAAAAATTTTTTTTTTAATTTTTTTTTCTGTCTTTTTGAGACAGGGTCTCCCTGTAGCCCCAGCTGGCCTGGAACTCACTATGTAGACCAGGCTGGCATCGAACTCACAGAGATCTGCCTGCCTTTGCCTCCTGAGTGCTGGGATTAAAGGTGTGTGCTACCACGCCCGGCCTGAAAATAATTTTTTTTTTAAAAAATACATTAAAAAAACAGTAATATGAGTAAGAAGGCTATGTCACTTTGAACTTTAGGGGTAAAAACAAGAAGCCAATGAAGAGACTCATCCCACTTAAGAGCTTACTACTAGAAAAGAGTAAAAGAACTGTACTCTCACAGACACCCACTACCTCAGTAAAGTACTTACCTTCATTTCTTCAATGGCCAACATGAGGTCAAATCTTAGTGTTAAAATATGTACTGTTACTTACCATATTATATATTATAGGCAAGGAAGAAAATGATCTTAAAAAAGTTTATTATAAATTTACAACCTAGGACAGAGCTATTGCATCAAACACTTTCAACCAAAGTAATAAAATATCGTAACTTTAAATACCTACTTCTAGATTATCAAGAGAAAAACATTGTAACAGTAAAAGAGCTAGCACTTTTAAAAATATTTTATGTATTATTTTTATTTTATGTGTATGAGTGTATTGCCTGCATGTAGGTAAGTGCACCCGTGTAGTGCAATGCCACAGAGGTCAGAAGAGGTTGTCCAATCCCCTGGAACTGGAGTTATGGACAGTTGTTAAATGCCATGTGGTTGCTGGGATTCAAACCCAGGTCTTCTGCAAGAACAACCAGTGGTCTTAACTGCTGAGCCATCTCTCCAGCCTCAAGAGCTAGCATTTTTAAAGTGCTTTTTATCTGAAAGAGTGATTTCTAATCTCAATTAGCCAAAAGAGCTTTAGAAATCTAATGATAATGAGACAACTTAAACCACCTCATATACAGCATTTTTCACGATAAAAATAAACTGTAAATAGGCACATACAGTGACAGGTGGAAACCACCTGCTTATCACTTAAGTATCAAGGTGATAGATCGTATGATTCTGTACAACTCTGCTCAGACTGTATGCTGGGTGTATAGCTCATTAGTAATTACCTACCATGTGCTAGGCCCTGGACTTGCTACTCGGACCCACAAAAACGAAAGGTTGGTTGGAATTAATGTCACTTAGAGCTAACTAGGGTTAGCACTCTTGACTTGTAGTTGCCATTTGACAGCTAAAGCTGGCACTCGGCAGAACGCCTCGTTGGAATGGTGCCAAGCCCTGACAGCCTAGCACTCCAGCACTTGAGAGGCTGAAGGAAGAAGACTGCAAGTTCCAAGTGAGCCTGAGCTACATAGTGAAACCCTATCTCAAAGCAAATAAATAAAACCAAATGAAAGGACCAAAAACAAAACAGAACACAAGCAGTGGGCATTTATTCAACTATTTATAAGGCCTGTGCATAAATTTTAGTTACATGAATTTTAAACTTATAAGAAATAATAATTAGTACGGGGAAATTTACATACTCCTCTGTGAGATGGACCACTTCTTCGATCATGAGAAAAACTGCGGCCCTCGCCATAGTCTCGGTAATCAACATGACTGTAATATCTACTGTAGCTTCCTTCATCAGGTCTTTCTAGCAGTGGTGGCCTCTTTTCTAGCAGTGGTGGCCTCTTTTCTAGCAGTGGTGGTCTCTTTGGCACAATATTAACTAGTCTATGGTAGCCATCCTAAAACAGACAAAAAGAAATATAGAAAAAAATCACTAATTTCTCTACTTGGTTGTGGAAATGTTTCTTACAAGCACAGGAGCTCTTTTCCATAATTAAACCAAATAAATGTATAAAGAAATAAAAATGTATTAGTGAAATAACGTGAATAAAACTAATAGTAACATCTTCACACAGATCAGAATAAAAATTACTCAATGAAGAAAGCCAAGCATTCAAAACAATACACAGCAATGCGAAATGACAATCATAAGTAAAAGAAAAATGTCATTTTACTAAAACATAAACTTTACACAGTAAGAATGATACAGCAGGTCTATCCCTAATTTTCTAAGCTTAGAAATAAAACCATGGAAGACAGCACACCTATCTGTTCTATTATGTTTGAAGTGTTCTATTTAGAAAAAAAAACAAACTTTTGCCCATAAGCAACAACAAACAGGAAAATGATAGCGGCTAGAATGACCAAAAGGAAACAGCTTGCTCTTTTTTTCCAGAAGCTCAGAAGAAAAAGATTTTCTTTAGCTTTACAGGTTTGGACACAAAATAAAAGCTGACATAAAATTAAAACTGGTATACAAAGTAATATACGCATGATGATTTAAATTTTTTAGCAGGTACTGGAGAGAAGGCTAAGCAGCTAAGAGCACTTGCTGCTCTTGTAGGGGTCCACAGTTCAATTCCCAGCCCACACATCAGGCAGCTCAAAACTAACACCAGCTCCAGAGGATGGCACCTGCACACATATGTACATACCTAAACTCACACACACACACACACACACACACACACACACACACACACGTAATTAAAATCAATACATACAAACCTTTTTTAAAGAACTTAACAACTGATTGGAGGTTTCTGTATGAGGGTAGGACTTGAGGGTTAGATAGAAGACAGAGTCTGTCTTATGTTAATAGCTAATGTGAAATAAAATGATCACAATAAGGAGAGAGCTACAGATCATATGTCCAAAATCTGACCTAGTGCATTCAAGGAACAACCAACTAGCTATGAATCTATACAGCTTTATTTTCCCCCTTTGAGACAGGCTCTTGCTAGGTAACCCAAGGCGGTCTCTAATTCATAATCCTTTTTTATTGTTTTGTTTTGTTGTTTGATTTTTTTAAACTTTTTTTTTATTTATGTGTATGAGTGTACTGCCTCCTGCATGTATATAAGTGTACCCATGTTGTACAATCCCTTAGAGATCAGAAGAGGGCGTTGGATCCCCTGGAACTGGAGTTACCAACAGTTGCTACCAACCATGTGGGTGCTGGGAACCAAACCTGGGTCCTCTGTAAGAGCAGCCAATGCTCTTAAAAAATGAACCACCTCCCCAGCCCATTGTTTGATTTTTTGAAGACAGGGTCTCTCATTCTGTAGCTCAGGCTGGGCTGGAATCCACAATAACCCTCCTGCCTTGGCCTCCAGAATGCTGGAAATACAGGTGGTACTTTCATACATGCAATAAATTAATGAGGTAATAATTATGTCTTAACTTGCTATTATTCTAATTTAAGTATCTCCATTATGAAAGATATCTTCATTTTGGTAAATAAATGCATCAAGCAAAGTTTGGGTAATTTGATTACGGTCAACTATGTTAAACTTTCCACACAAATATTATCTCATAATTAACTGGACACAAATTATATGGATTAGCATGCTTCCTTAAAGACATTTCTTAATCAAGGCTTGGTGGCGCACGCCTTTAATCCCAGCACTCAGAAGGCAGAGGCAGGGGATCTCCCTGCTCAACAAACAAACAAAAATAAATAGAATAAAACAAAAACAAAAGACATATTTCTTAAGACTGGGGTGCCAAACAATTGTACAACAGGCGATTAGCTTTCGTAAGACCCTGGGTTAAATCCTCAGAACCAAAACCAAACCCAACCCAAGAATTTTCCAATCATCATTAAATATACATGAACTTATTTCAATACAAAACATTGTTTTTTACATTTTATTTATTTTGAGTATGTGATAGGGATTCACACACATCCCACAGCATGTATGTGGAGGTCGGGGAACAATTTTAGGAAATCAGTTCTCTCCTTCCACCATGAGGATGCCAGAGATCAAATTTAGGTCCGGCTTGACAGCAAGTGCCTTTACCTGCTTAGTCATCTTGCAGGCCATAAAAATATTTTATTTGAAACTAAAATGTTATCATACAAGTGTCTTCCTTAAGCAGCTTTATCATTGAGACACACATATGGAAATACTTATTTACATTGGAACACGAATCATGGATTTACTTCAAAATTACCAGCAAGAGAGTAAAGTAGTAGAGACAGGACAACACTCAACTGACCAAAAGTGGAGAGCTGCTACTTTAATGACCTGACCTTCAGGAGTTGCTTCTCTCGTCTTTTTACGTATTTGATTTTGTCTTCCTTATAAAAACTCAAAACCAAGCCAGGGATGGTTGTATGTATGTAATCCCAGCAGTAGAAAAGATGAGACAGGAGGATGGAAAGTTCAAGGCCAGCCTAGACTATACAAGATCCTGTCTCAAAAAAAAAGGGAAAAGAAATTATTGTAGTACAAGATCTTAAGGTCAAGTCCAACCTGAGCTACATAGCAAACCCTTGTCTCAAAAACCAAAACGAGGGTCTGGAGGGATAGCCCACTGGCTATGAGCACTTGCTGAACTTCCAGAGAACTTCCCAAATTTGCGTCTCAGCACCCACCCTGCAGATACTCCTGTCATTAACTCCAATTTCAGGACTCATGCCCTCTTCTGGCCTCTGCAGGCACTGCATGCATATAATGCAGTTACAGACATGCAGATAAAACACACAAAATAAAAATAAAATCTTTTTTGTAAAAAGAAAAGAGGGCTGAAGAAATGGCTCTAAGTTAAGAACACCAGCTATTCTTGCACAAGACCCAGGTTCAGTTCCCAGCATCCACATGGCAGCCAACAACCATCCTTAACTCTAATACCAGGAGATTCAATGCCCTTTTCTGGCCTCCAAGGGCACCACAAACACATGGTGCCCTTACACACATTCAGGCAAAACACTCATATACATAAATAAATGAAAAAAAAAAAAAACTGCAAAGAAAAAACAAAAAAACTAAGT